AGGGGGGCAGTTAGGACCAGGGTTGAGAAACACTGGTTGTAAATATGTAAATAAAACAACATGCATTACCAATGATGTCAACACAGGTGGTTGTCGAGTTCTCACTACCAAGCTCATTTGTGGCCTCACAGTAATAGTCTCCTTCTTCAGTAGGAGTAACACTGAAGCTGTAAACCTGCTCCTCAGATACTTTAACTTCTCCATGTTTGCTCTTTCTGAACCAGGCGATGCTGGTAATGGGAGGTTTGGCTTTGCCGTTACAGCTCAGTTTCACCCTGGTACCTGCTGACACCAAACCTGATGGACTGATGGATGGTTTTGTGGTTACAGGAGCATCTGAGGAAAATGAGATGACACATTTACTTTATACAGGTAGATTACTAAAACTTTTATTTGAAACAACATTCAAAGAGCTTTTAGTCAACATCAATATCATGTAAGTTAGACATTAAGATTGCTGCAGTGCTTTAAAATCTGAAATATTTTATAACTTGTTTTCCCTTCAGTTTATATTAATTATATTAAAACTTGTGAAAAGTTGTGACTCAAAATCTCCAAAACATTATGTATTTTTTAATTACCATGAAACATTCAAAACATGCCTAAATGAATGTCATTAAATTGACCCATAATATTTCTTAGTAACCCAAAATGATATGTTTTCTACTTTAAAAAAAGGATATTTTGTATGGAAACAAAGGCATTGAACTCGCATAATTTTTCAAATATAGTTAAATCCTAAAATTAATTTAGATTATTTCCAATTACTTCCTTGCAAAGAGTTAGCATAGCATTATCAGAGAGCTGGCTCTTGTAGCTCGGCCTACAAAGACAAGGTGGAATTTCAACACCGGTTGACTAGGTTTAAATATCACAATATTGTAAATTGATCAAGTAAATGGAATAAACATGAACCATGATATGCTGATAGGATCACTTACGTGAAACACTGAGAGTCTGTACTTTCGCTGTTGTCTGTTTGAAACCTCTTTTCACAGGATATCTGGCAGAACATCTGATGTTGAATCCATCATGTATGTGTGACAGAGTGATGGTCTCCTGGATTTTTGCTGTAAAGGCTCCATCAATATTTTTCTCTAGTTTTCTGCGAGAGTCGTTTTTGAGATTCCAGGTGAGTTCAGGAAGTTTCCGTGAACAGGGAGTATGAGTTGAGCAAGTTATAGTGACAGACTGATGCTGCTTCAAATCACTTCCAGAAACATTAATGATGGGAATCCAAGGAGAATCTGTGGTTTCAAAACAGACATGTCATTAAATGAAACATGACACAAAGTACAGTCTTGATTATTTGGGCATTAAATCTACAACACCATTTTACTTAACAAGCTTTTAATTTCATGAAACATTGCCTTTATTGACCCTTTACCTGTGACAGACTGACGCAAACTCCGCCATGACAGACGTCAAAACAACCAGTGTGCTATTTAAAAGTTAGTCTAAAAACAGACATCTGTAACCTTATATTACTTCTCGTTAGTTGACTTAACTTTAAAAATGGTCAGAGGATGCTGTGTGGTCGGCTGCACAAACAGGCAAGGATGCAAAGCAAACTTGTCATTTTATCTTATAACTTGTAGTGAGGAAAGAGACGGCAGTGCTGGACATCAGCCGTCAATCATAATGACTGTCAGCCCTCAGTGTAACCGCAGATTTGAGGTGAACACTTTTTACAAGGTAAGAAGACTAATGTTCATATTCTTTATATGTAAGTATGATTAGAAAGATATCAAATGTTGTATTATGGAGAAAGTACGCGTCTAACCGTCAGTAACCATGGAGTCATGTAGACTAACATGTATGGTAAAAACTCTTCTTTAGTACGTTTTTAAGGCTGCTCCAGTGTTAGGGGAAACGTGTGTTACGTTTACAGACAAATTAGCTTAACTGGAAGAAGAAGAAGCCATGAATAAACTGGGAAAAGCAACTTGGGAAAACAATTTCAGTGACTCTGTTCAATACTCCCGTCCCTCACTTTCAACATCCGTCATGGCGCTTTGAATGATTAAGTGACGTTGTTGTAAAGGGTCAATGATGAACTTTTGTAAAGGTAAAATGAGAAAAGTTTATGAGAACGGTACCTTTCAGTAAATAATAGGGCATCAGCAGAGAAGGGAGGGTCTGTCATGGTGCTAAGTTTTGTGCTGGGGATGAGTAAGCTGTTTATGTGAATGTAGTCGAGAGAATGTGTTGGCGATGACCCTACCCGAAAGGTGATTCGCCCAGGGCATCAAAGAGCCTCTACCAGAGAGTTCTATCAGCTGTAGTAAATATGTTATTCTTTGCATGAGTTTAGACTCAGATTCAATTTAGATTTGGTTCATGTATCATATTTGTCTGCTTACAATATTTGTGAACAGTGCATATCTACATCTGATTTGCAATTTGTTTATATCTGATATTTTATTTTGCTGACTTTTTCCTAATCAGACTGCATATGAAACATTGGTTACAATTCTGGTTACATTTGCAAATTTGTGATTTTTAAAACATGACTACAGTTAAAATATATCACAGAGTATTAAGAAACATTTCTCTTACTTATAACTGATATCAGAATAGCATCAGCACAAAATGTTGCCCTCATCCCCACATTTTCAATTCTGAAGAAGTATCTGTCTGAATGATGTCCTTCTACCGCAACAATCCGAGTGCTGCAGTCTTTCATTCTCAAATCTCCAATAATTTCCATTCGATGCTTGTTAATTGTTCCACTGCTGTTAAAAATAACATTTCCTTTCCAATTAAATGGCCTATTTCTCAGCCAGATTCCATAAATGGGTTTCCTGGTGTCAAATTCTGGCATAGTAGAAAATCTACATGGAATTTCCATACAAGATCCAAGGAGAGCTTCAATCTCCTTTGGTGCCTGTAAGTGGACTGGTGCTTCTATCAAACCGCAATCAGCAGAAGCACCTGTAAAACAGATAAATTATGAAAACAACATGTAGGTAAATCCCCCTGCTGAGAAAGTTCATGATCCACAAACACCAATTCATCTTCATATTACATGTGGAGCCTTTGAACAACATCAGAATCAAATATTTCAGACTAGAAGTGATTTATGTGACGTCTCCAAATAAAAGGGAGTGAACAAACAAACTCACATGGACGACAGAAGACAATCAGTGAAATGCTGACTATCAGGATGTTGGTAGACAGGTGACAGAACTTCTTCATCTCCCTGACTGGAACAACCTAATGATGAGATTAATATTTTTAAAACAGCCTCTTGATAAAATCAGCGCTTACATGATTGAAAGGCAAAGATGAAAAATTTTGAAAACTATTTTATGATTATTTCATATTATTAAAAATGATTCTGCAATACAGTTCTGCATCAAAAATTGAAGCCTTCCTAACAAGACAAAAGGTCAAGCTGGTGGTTAACATCAGTCCAGCCCCTGTACGTTAATTAAAAATACAATAAATAACCCCAAACAAACTAAAGAGCAATTGTTCCTAATGTGCATATGACATTAGTTCAGTGATTCTTGAGAATAGGGACAAAACGGGTCCTATGGATAAAGCATAGGACCCAAAATATAATTTTTTCAAATA